TTGACCATCTTGTCTTTTCCCCCCTTCATCCCATTTCCTCTCAGTCATTGTATCGTTAAGAAAATAAAAGAAAGCATCCGTGTTTCCTCCATAATAAAAAGAATCGCTAAACATGCTTCACAAAAAAAATCGACGCCCGAATGGTATTTCATAAGTAACAGATTCTTTTCCATACACTTAGCTTACAATATTACAAAATTTACTGACAATAAAATCGGAAAGATTGTTTAGCGTCGTTTTCTGGTGTTTTAGGAGACCATAATTACTTGTTATCAACTGTATTGTAATTTTTGGTGACAATAGCGGTCAAGTTTTGCTGCTGCTGACAGGAGCTGTCCGATTTTTCCATAGAGAAACCATTTGTGATTCAAAATTGCGTTTGTGATTAGTACAAATAAAGACGAGGGAAATAGTCATAGGTGTATACATATAAAACAGTCAACCAAATGCGTTATGGACGTTTACGTACTCGTAATTTCCCTAAAATGTTTCTATAGATAAAATGTTGTCGGATGTAACGTTATCTCAGCTTGTTTTTGCGTGTCATGCGACATTCCTAATTTTTTTGTGATGTCACTTAATTTCACATATTGCGGGCGCGGTGCTGATTTCCCGTAATGCTCCTCAAAGTCTTTGAAAACGCAAAAAGGGGGGAATAGTAATTTATATCTTTGATCTTTGAACATAACCTCTCTTCTGAAAGGACAACACAAGTGAACCGTCTGGTACAGCTAACGTATATACTTAATGGGCAGCATACGAGTATTCAATAATAATTTTCTCATTCCTGATTTTATACACCTACAGACCAGCTTTCTTCCTGTCACATCTTCTCAGATATATGCTCTACCGATCATCTCGGTATTCTGTAACCAACAAAGCATGCGGGCGAGATGAATTACGGCATAGTCGTTGAGCCTGTCGTTGAGTCATTACTCTATAGGTGATGCTATGGGTGACGCTCACAGCGCTGATAGCCAGCAAGAGCGGACTGAACTATTTCAACACTAGCAAGTTGATATTTTGTCGGTTTTTTGACATTATATAGGTTTTTACGTAATAACCTTGTGGGTCCCAGACTATGCCATTGCTATGTAAATATGTTTAAAAGCTTTTTCCTGAAAATTCAGTAAATTTGCGGATAGCTCCCTTTATGATGAAATTTAATGCACATTCTTTTAGATTATGTTCTATTTATATGCAGAAGGGGAGAGGCTCAAGAGATTGGTCTGCCACTCTTGGCCCTTCGTCTATATAACAAATTTTCCTACTTCTGTCGAACCGAAGGTTACATAACGAGTGTGTATCGTGAAACGAAAACAATATAAATGATGATTTGAAAGAGTAATATCGTAAAAGCTGCTGATGGAATTCTGATGCATTTACAACTCCTGGAGCCAACATTGTGATTTTCTTTATGACCATCCGTCAACCAGACAATGTTTTCAAAAATAACAATATTTGCCTTCACAAGTACACATTAAATTGGAGTAGGTTTGGAACGTTTTGATTAAATCGGGGGTACAGACACTAATAAGATGATCCACCTCCCCGCTACTACAGAAAAAAATGTATGTATACTAAATCACTTAAACAATGCGACACCGATTAGGAGTGCTGTAATTTTGAGCATACTTTCGCAAGTTTTAGGTGTACTAATAAATAGAAAGTGGTTGAAATTTCTCAAAATAGCTGAGATATCCCTCCATAATGTTAATGATGTGTTGAAGCTCCTCTGTTCACTTCGCATTCGTTAAGTCGTCGCGGCATTGATCGAATTAGATGACTGATGTCTTTTTGATGTATTGTATCCCAGGCCATCTGAATTTGGTTTCGTACAGCCTCCAATGTTTGTGAAGGGTGCGGTAAATTTTGCAAGCATCTTCCCATCATGTAACGTACATGTTCGACGGGGGAAAGGTCTGGAGATCGAGGAAGCCACTGAAGCTGCTTTACTCCGGACACTTCTAAAAAGTCTAAACTAACTCGTGCGACATGAGGTCGTGCATTGTCCATAGATTTTGCAATGTTTCCAAAAAGAGAAGCATATGAGGTTGTAAAACTTCGTGTATATAGCGCTGTGCAGTCATGCTACCTCGAATGAATACTAAGCGTGACCTGCTGCCGTAAGCACTGGCAGCCCATACCATAACACCCACAGTGCGATGAATATGGCGATCGATGGAATATAGGACGTTCCGTTTTTCACCACGTCTCCTCCTTACCCTTGCATAGCCATCATGTATGCCTAAATAGAATCTGGACTCATCGGTGAACTTGACTTTTCTATTCCATATTCCATTCAAGTCTCGTCCTACTCCATACCAATCGTGACGATTCTGTGGGGTCAGGGGTAGTACAAGATTCGGACGGTATGAAAACGGTCCAAAAGACAGTATTCGGCGATAAACTGTCCTCATTGTTGTTGCCCTTCCATCAACATCAAGCCACTGGTTCGCAATTGCCCTTGTTGTGGAAAATCGATCTCTAAGTGCTACTTGCCTCAAATAAAGATCCTGTCGCTCTGTAGCCTGTCTTTGACAACTAGTACCTCTAACTCGTCAATTTCGGTATTCTTGGAACCACGTTCGACAACATCCTCATTACAGTATCTTCGCTTCGATTCACTCGATTAGCAATTTCTCTAAGAGAAAATCCGGCTTCACGTAACCTGATTATCTGACCCCTCTAAAACTTGGAAAGTTGAGTGAAATTAGCGCGTCTGCGAACTCTAGGCATGATAATGTTCGGATCCTGATATATTAAAAAAAAAGTACGGCTCGTAATGGCTTTAACATTTATTGGCGTATACTTGATACCATGATAGCAAATATGTTTACAAGTTTTTATCAAAATTCAATAAATATTTTTGGATGTTGCATTTTATATGTCACTTAGTATATTTAAGGTAGTGGACCTTTTAATGAAATATAGGTATATAATATAGTGTAGCGTAGAAATCACTAGTGCCACTTGATTTTAACTAAAAATTTTTGAATCATAAAATGAGCTTTCCTATACGGGAAAGATTTTATAGCCACTGTCAAGCATTCCCCTGCGGGCCTTTCCTGTGAGTGTAAGATTCTCTAGGAATATGGTTAACTCAATAAAGCCATGCAGTCGTTTACTACACATCCCAGCACGCTAATGCTAGTAGTCAGCAGTTCAATTGGTGGAATACCAGCCACCACCAGTAGTGCATCCGGTGACACCGTTCTGTAAGCACGGATCACGCGCAACGCTTCTTTCGCTAGCTTATGAAAATTAGTTGCCTATATTTCTTTTTCCTCAAGGCCTTATTATAGATTGCTGTTCTGTAGAGCAAAATCGAGCGTGCTAAAATCCTGCACTTTACACTAGTGGGGCAATGAATGTTCATTTTCTCACTGTTTTGCATTACATGATCAGTAATTTTCAGACCTTTATCGAGCAGACACCCTGATACTTAATAGCATAGAACCCGATCCCATAGTTACCTTCATTGTAATTCATCCTGCCGTAAGTGCCCTCTCATTAAAGTAACTCCTGATCATGTTCTTCTAAATAGGTATCTAGCATTTCGAGAGATCCAACGACTTTCTGTCATTGTGCCCTGAAGGCATCCTTAACATTAAAGACAAGCATAGCGCAAAGTTTATTGTTACTGTAGCTACGTTTATCTGCTACTTTCGCCAACTATATCACTGCACTGAGTGCATCTGTCGTAGACTAACCATTTCTTAATCCATATCGCGCAGGAGACAGTCCTCATTCCCAGTAAACTCATCATGCACAAAGGTCTATATTCAACTTCCTTATCGGAGTTTTGAAGGATTCTACAGTAACCTTGGTAGATTATTGTAGATGCTTGCGCCTCCCTTCACGCTCTCATTCTCAAGCATTCGTCACAAACAGCACGATTTCCTGTATGTCTTTAAGCAGGACTTCCACGGACTCAATTGGTATTACGTCGAGCACTGGCGCTTTTCCTGATTTTAAGTGCAGTGCAGCTTCTTCAGTATCACACACGGCGAACTCTGGCATGTTCAGACCCTCCTCAAATTTCCTTCAGTAAGTGAGCTCTTTGAAGAGAATCATCTGCAACTTTCATTTGTTGTTCGGTATCCGGGTAAGGTCTGTCTGTGAGTCTTAGCTCTTTCATAGGTATCTTGTACGCTTTTTCCCAAACGTCATTTTCAAGGTCGCTTAGCACTTCTTTTCACATCTTCTTTCCTGGCGTTTTGGTGTGTTTCTTATGATTAAACATCTGAGTACGATCTCCTGTTCCATTTGCTCTATAGTAACTTCTATTTTCTGATGTTACTTTACGTCTGATAGCCATTCTTTTTTTCTTATGCTATTCCATTGTTCCACCAATACTATCGTTATCATTACCGTTAGCTGTCTCGTACGCCAAATGTATGTCGGCCAATTCAAAATTATGCATTTGCAACCGAACACTGTTTCTTATTTTCTTCTTATTCTTATTATAGACTAATTTGTGATACACAAAACGACATTTAAAAATATACTCAGTGACATTATGAAGTGTTACGTCCTGAAAAAAGAATTTTTTCAACTTGATTTTTTGGCAAATTTCCTTTTAATAATATAATATTCATTTCTGAAAATTAGGTACAGCTATTCTGTGGCACCCTATAGATAAGTGACTTGAACAACTGCAATGGGTAAAAGCTATTTTTTACCAGCACGCAGGAAATCCAATTGTAAGAAAAGAAAGATAAATGTTTCGATGAGACATCAGTGATAAACCACGCACTTTTTGGAGTTCATGAGAACTTTAACAGGAAAACGAACCAGATCCTGCAAAATTTTTAAACCATGGATGTAAAGTTATTGCAAAATTTAAACAGAAGGTACTAATTTTTAAATTCGAGCTTTGAATAATATATTAATTTTGGGCAGACACCAATTCAAAAAATGCCACAAAGTTTTTGTATGTGCGATGTCCAATCAGGAACGACTTATGCAATATTTATCATGTGCAAAGAACTTCTCACCTTGCTCATGTCCTCATAGAACAGGAACAAAACATTCTTTTCGTGTCTTCGACTCCATCCTTCCCTAATGTGTTCCCAGTAAGGTGTCCAGGGCTCTGAAAAAGCGTACAAATGACATTGTGGAACATATTTTAGATGGAAGAGCTTAATTCCAAGGAAAAATAATGTTGATAAAATTCGAATATTACAAAGCGAATCTTGGAGGTATGTTCATTTAAGTATCATGTATCGCCAGCCTATACATCTTAAACTACGAGTATATAAAAGTATATCTATTATATTTCTGTTCCAATGTAGTTGTATGGAAAGTATGTGTGATATTAGTGCCACCTTTCACTGGTAGCAAAAATGTAACATTTACAACCATTCACCCCCTAGGTACACCATAAGATTTCTAAACACAATGTTTCACCGATTTTTGTTTCTCTTCCGTAGCTCCGCGGTAACTAATTCAAATTTCAAGACTTAGAAAGCTCTTTCGTTCTTAGCATAGTAGTCACCCTGTGCCAGAATATCATCAAAGGTGTACTTTCCGAGTCGTAAATAATATAATAATCATAATAATAATAGCATGATTAATATGGTATTTGGATTGGATAAATGCAAGGTAATACATATAGAAAAAGCTAAATATCGAACAGGTGAAATATAGCTAAGAGACAGAGGTCATAGAGTCCATGAGCGTAGGAGACGTCTATAGATATCGAGGATATCAACAGGTAAAGGCAATTGAACAGACGAGGATCAAAGAAAATCTCTCAAAACAATACTGCAGCAGAATAAACAATGTCAGGCAGAATTTAACTGTAAACACCTTTTCAAGGCAATAAACACATTCGCAATTCCAATACCAACATACTCCTTCGAATAATCGCGTGGACTAACACAGACTTAGAAAATATCATGAGAAAAACAAGTACCTTACTAACCACATGTAGAAAACACCACCCCAAATCAAGCACCCTCATAGTAGCACTACCAGACGACAGAGGCCTCATAAAAATTAAAAACCTACATGATAATCAAGCCAACCTGACGACAGAATACTCCTATAAAAGAAAACAGTCTTCATCTCTACATGTTAGTGTACGCACAGCGGATGACTCATACACATCTCTGAGTCTAGCTAATGTTGCTATACACATCAGTGGGAATACCCTCGATGGAGAAGAAAAGCATCGGGAATGACAAACTAAGGCCCTTCACGGACCTTCTTGACCTCGACCAACCTCATGTCGATAAACATGCATCGAACGTACGGTTGAAGTGTGGGGAACTGTTTCCAGAAACAGAATGCTTTATGATAGTTATTCGGCATCAAACTTATTATCAATGCCACTACAGTAAGCGACGATATATGCAGGAAGTGTAGTGATAGCAGGATGTAGCGCAATATGTCAAAAATAATTCCTACATCGTCACAAACAAGTAGCTGATTTGATTCATAGGGACATATGCTATACAGGGTGTTCCTTAATGATATGCGAATATTCAAGGGTGTGAATCTACATCAAAAATCAATGTTGGTTTGCTCTATAAACTATGGTCCAAAAAATGTTTCCTTACAAAAAGAAGTTTTTGAAAAAAAATGGAAATTAATCAATATCTTCAGAACCGCTTCAGATATTCCACTGATATTTAGCACGTAGTGAAAGTTAATAAAGTTGCATATTTTTCAATGCAAAAATAATTTTTAGATGTAACAGTGGAGTGCGTACGGGTATTTACTTCAATACTTTTCAGGAAAAAAATGGTACGCCAATGATTTTTTGCCAAAAAGAAATTATTTTTGAATTCATTGTTCAATTTATAATAAATGATCTTTATTTAATTGTTTTCCCTAGATGCGCCATTTTTGAGTAAAAAATAAAAGCCATTCTATTGTCTAACTTGCAAAATTATTATTAATTTAATTGGAAAAATTAAGGGTAATGAACAACAACAACTGACAATATAGACATAATATTAAAACCAACGACATGATTACAAAAATTGCTGAAAATGGCCCCCTTCACTTAGTATGCATGTTTCCGCCCTCCTCATGTAATTGCACACTCGTTGAAATATCCCTGGAGTGTTTTTTATTCTTTCACAAGCTGCAACTATTCTTTCTCTTAATTCCTCTACAGCGTTAATCGAACTGGTGTACACTAGTGTCCTAAGATAGCTCCTCAAAAAGAAATCTAAACTGTTGAGGTCTGGGGACCTTGGTGGCCATTCTTGGGGCCCACCGCGGCCAATCCAACGATTTGGATAAACAGTTTGTAAATAATAATTATTACGAACTGCTACACTGGAATGCGCTGGTCCATCATCATGCATGCACCACATATTGTTTCTTATTACTAACGGAACAGGCAACTGTTGTTGAAGAAAATTGAGGTAAGTCTGTCCGTCAAGTCGTCCCGGCAAGAAGAATGGGCCAATAAAGTGGTTGCCAATAATTTCTGCCCATACGTTAACCGAAAATTGGAAATGGGTTTCGGTTACGGCATAGGGATTTTCTTCTGCCCACAAATGATTATTGTGGAAATACTGAGTGCTATTTCGAGAAAAATTAGTTTCGTCCGTAAACAGAATCATTGATTCAAATAGACTTTGTGTAATTTCTTAAAGATACCACTGACAAAAGGTCACACGCCTTGGAAAATCAATGGGAAGTATTGCCTGTACTCTTAAAATATGGTAAGGATATAACAAAAAATCCACTAAAATTCTCCAAACAATTTCATGGCAAATATTTAAGTGTCTAGCGATCTTCCTCATACTCGTTTCAGGATATTCTTCGACTTCTTGCAGCACTGCTTCCTCAATTTCAGGTGTTCTCACACTTACAGGTCTACCTTCAGATGTTCCTTTTCGGACAGAACCAGTTTCAACAAGACGACGATGAATATTAGACAAGGTTCGACTATCTGGCAAAGCACGATCGGGATATCTCTGGTGATAAATCCGTCTGGCTTGCTCACCATTATTAACAAGATTGTAAAAACTAAATAATGAAAAAAATGTCACAGCGAACAGATTTGAAAAACAGAGACTTGTCAGAAGTCAAAAGCCAGTGACATATTCCAGAGCAACTAGATATTTATTGCTAAACTGCATTCTTCAATTATTACACTAATTTTCTCGGACAATAGAACGGTTTTTATTTTTTTACTCAAAAATGGTGGATCGAAGGAAAACAATTCAAGAGAGATAAGTTGTTTTTAATTGAACGGGCAATTCAAAAATAATTTTTATGTCGAAAAAACAATTGGCGTACCATTTTTTCCTCAAAAAATATCGAAGTGAATACCTATGCGCTCGCTGCTGTTCAAGCTAAAAATAATTTTTTAATATCAGTGAAATATTTGAAGCTGTTCAGAAAATATTAATTAATTTCCATTTTTTTCCTAAAACTTCAACACCCCGAGTTTTTGTAAGGAAACATTTTTGGACCATAGTTTATATAGCAAACTAACATTAATTTTTCATGTAGATTCACATTCTCAAATATAAGCATATCATTAAGGAACGCCCTGTATACCTGTAGTTAATCTGGAGCGCAAAGAACCCAAAACGCCATATTATGAGTATGAACCATCACTAATACAAACAAACCAATATGACATCTATTATGACAGGTCTATTATAACAGATAGGGGTGTCACATGCAATAGGCCTGATATAGTTGTAACGAACAAACAAGCAAGAGAGGCCTATATCATAGACTTTGTATCATACGCCAGGAATAACCAGAGATAATAATAATAAATACCTATTTACTCCTAAAGATTAGGGAACAGTCAACAGAATCGTTGAATATGATTGTATGTTAAGTACGTGGGACACCCTGTACATGTGTGTACATTCCCATTCCCATTTACTAGTTTTGGCACAAAATATTAATCAGATTTTTGTAACGTAGAAATTTACTTAAACACTAAATAGTTACCATAAATTACAACTCAATACTTAACTATACTATCGAATTATGTGGAGTGGCCTATTCTGCTCTACCAGACGAAACTTTCTTCGAATATCTCTCATGAGGTCCTGGACGGAATTCAGATCAGTTTCTCTCAGTTTTTCGTAAATTCGCAATTGTTCTTCATCTTGGGCTTCCCAGCCTCCATGATAAACTAGACAGTAAAGCCCAAGAATCCTCTATTGAGCGACCCTGCGGCAAGCTTGGAGTATTATTATTTTGGGAACAAAAGGTATGTTGTGTTGTCGGAGAAAGTTTTGAGTATCTCTTGAGTAATGCCATGATGGCCATGGCCAAAACATCATACGGTCATTAGCATGATGTTCGTGGACAAACTGACGGGAGAAATTTGGAAAGGGCAGTTATCAATATAGGTCTGACTATTCAAGGCTTCAAACCCCCCCTCTCTTCCCACGGTCGGGATACAAACCCTGTTAGAAATTGCTCACCAAACAAGGATTTTATCTGCAAATTTCGCATACGTTTGTATCTGACATTGTCAGAATATTCCTCTACGTTGATGGTATAAGATCCGTCGTTTCCCTTCATTTCAGAATTACTCAAAGTGAAATACTTTTCGTCATCTAAAATAATGATTTTCCTATTGGCCAAATCTACCCGTCTCAGTTGACGACAGCATCTTGGCATCCAAAGGAGTTCCGCTTGAGACTATTTGGGGGCACTTAAGTCTCTTTCGATAGTTAAGACCATTCCTCCTCAGTTTTAAGGATATCGTAATCTTAGAAGATCTGTATTGAGGAGCCATTAGCGATGGGTATAATACACCATTGAATATGCCTATACAATGGTGAATATTCACGTATACAATGTATAAAATGTATATGTATTCCAGATCGATCCTAATGGTTCTCCGATTTTAGGTGGAACTGAAAGTTCAGGATAGATACAAATTCTGCAACATTGCATTATTGGTTTGACTGTGGAAGCAGTTTATAAATAATGAAAATATATATAATGCTTATTTATATACGTATACAAATATACAGTTTTAAATAAATTAAGAACAACAAATGAACCCTAGTTCATCGATTTCTTTGTTCTTGGAGCGACCAACCATATTTTTTTTTAAGTGGTTTGTTCACTGTTTACCAACTTTCTGACGTT